TTCAGGACCAGTGGGTTAGAAATTTGTCTAACAGGACATTGACACAACCTGAGAAAGATGTGCTGGCAAAAGGACTAAACTTTACCATCTCCCCTCAAGAAATACCTGTTGTGGAACTAATCACGGCCACTGAATCCGCGATTAGGAACAACAACTTGACTGAAGGAGAGGCAGAACAGCTCAGAATGGAAATATCAGCAACCCTCTCCAGTGCCAAACCGCCTCCTTCAAACCTCACACCACAGGAAAGGAAAGCTGTAACATCACTCAGCCAGGACCAAAACATCACCATTTTACCAGCTGATAAAGGAAGATGCACAGTAGTCCTCAACACTTCTGATTACCGGGAAAAAATAACTACACTACTGAGCGACCGTAACACCTACGAGACCCTGAAGAGGGACCCAACCAGCACATATAAAAAGAAAGTCACCTGCAAAAACTTGAAAAGGAGAAAACAATCAATTGATCTTTGTATTATAGATTGTACCCAGGGGAAGCCACTCCCTGTCTTTATGGACTTCCAAAAATACATAAAGAAGGAACACCACTCAGACCCATCGTCAGCAGCATGAACTCAGTGACATACAATATTGCTAAACATCTGGCTGGTATTTTAGCTCCTCTTGTTGGAAACACACCTCATCACATAAAGAACTCCATTGATTTTGCTAACAAAGTTCAACACTTGAAACTAACCCCAGGAGAAACCCTTGTATCGTATGATGTGACTTCTCTTTTCACATGCATACCCATCTCTGAAGCAGTAGAAACCGTCAGAAAACAACTTCTACACCTGTTTTCTGACGGTTTCTACTGCTTCAGAGATGGGTATGCATGTGAAAAGAGAAGTCACATCATACGATACAAGGGTTTCTCCTGGGGTTAGTTTCAAGTGTTGAACTTTGTTAGCAAAATCAATGGAGTATTGAATTGGACCATGTGCCAAGGGTCCGTCCATTCCAGCGGAGTCCCAGCTGCCTCGCTATGACTCACCCTGAGCATTAAATGCTCTCAACTTCTAAGGAAGCTTATTCTGTTGAACGGAGTACTTCGTCACGACTTCTGACGACCCCAGCCACTCTGACCGGAGACGCTGAAAAGGTAGCGTGACAATGGACCTCTGTTCCAGAGTTGATGTATCCTCTGCTCAGGTAACGTTGTTCACGCCCTGAGTGTACCGGAGGGCTGAGCTGGGATCGGAGGAAGGGTGCCATTTTCTGGTCCTTACATCTTCCTTCATCCATCTAAACCTCCTCTTTAAATCTTTAAACTTCTTTACCCCTTCTCTTTAAACTTCTATTTGCCAGTAAATCAAGTTAAGTGCCTTCAGAGATGAATCATTCTCCATCAGTAATCTTCTGTTGTCTTGTTACTTGAACTTGCCAAGTTTATTAATCAGAAACAGATCAGCAAATCGAGTGTACATGTTTTGATGTTAAATTTTGATTCTGTTAAATAAATGACCGCATTTATTCTGATGGGTCAAAGATAAAATGGTGTCTCATGTCACTAATTAAACACTTCACTCTCAAGTTGTCTTGGTCACATGGCAGAAATTTAACTCGAAAAAGAAAGAATCCATCCATCCATCCATTATCTTTACCCGCTTATTCCATTTTGGGTCACGGGGGTCGCTGGTGCCCATGTCCATCAATCACTGTGCGAGGGGCGGGGGACACCCTGGACGGGTCTCCAGTCCATCACAGGGACACATAGAGACAAACGAGACAAACAATCATTCACTCTCTCACTCACACCTAGGAACAATTTAGAGTTACCAATCAGCCTAACATGCATGTTTTTGGTCTGTGGGAGGAAACTGGAGCACCTGGAGAAAACCCACGCATGCACGGAGAGAACATGCAAACTCCACCCAGAAAGGCCCCTGGACCGGGGTTTGAACCAGGGACCTGCTCGCTGAGAGGCAGCAGCTCTACCAGTTGCGCCACCGTGCTGCCCAAGAAAGAATCCGTTGTTAATTAAACAATTAATATTTTTTGTGCTTGAACTAGCTTTAAGAATAATTCATTAGTAGTGAAGCTAAAAGCTAGCTCACTACATGTCCATGGTATGTCCACAGTATGTCCACAGTGAGTGGACAGACACTGAAGCCAGCGTGAGGAGGTCCAGCAGGCCGTGGAGGGTTTCAGAATAAATCCCAGCTGTACTCCTCAGCAGCAGCAGCAGATCCCGTTTAAAGGCAGAACCGAGGTGGTTCCTGTCAGAGATCCATTCGTGTCGCTGCATGTCAGAGCTTCTCTTTGTGTCAGGATTACATCTGGTGTCCTCAGCCGTCAGGCCGCTGAATATAAAATCTAGTTTTTAGTAAGAAGCTGCTGCCTCCTCAGTAATTACAGCTAATCTGCTGCATGAGACCAACTTTGACAGGAACTCTGAACGCTTCCTGGTGAATAAAACCTGATCTTTACTGTGTAAAGTAAAAGGAAAGGCCCCGTCAGCTGTCCTGGGCGTGACTCTAAGCTCATCGCTTCATTGAAAACCGGTGATGGGGGAGTTGGCTGCTAACGGGGGAGGGTTAGCCTTTTACTGACTCCCAAAGTCCACTCGTTAATACTGATGGTCAGGAGCATGGAAAACACTCATTCTGAGTTTCTACACGAGTACTGAGGCATAAGGTTTACTAAAAACCAGGCTACACTGACCAACTGTGGTAAAAATAAAAACATTATTTATGGATCATAGAAAAACGTGTCTCCAGGTTGATTTTTAGGTATAAATGAACTTAGAATAAAAGAGACACTTTACTCAGTTGAGGTTCTCCTTAGGAGAGACAAGGATGGAGATCAGGAATGAGATCATCAGAGGTACAGCACAGCTAGAACTAGGAGATAAAGTTCATCAGGTCTCTCTTGTAAATGAGTCCTTGAGGCTCAATGGGATTTACCTGTCTAAATAAAGGTTGAATGAATGAAAAGTTAGAGAGGACACACTGAGATGGTTTGGACATGTCCAGAGGAGGGACAGTGGTTTGGACATGTCCAGAGGAGGGACGGTGGTTTGGACATGTCCA